AAACAAAATAAATTACATAAAAATGGCTAGAATAATAAAATTGATAGAATTAAAATGAAAGAATAGCTTACTCAGCCCTTTTTTCTTTGAGTATATAAACTTTTTTCTCAATAATGTCAAGAAATTTATTGCGAAAATCTCCAAAGTTTCTATTAGCTGCTTGCAACCAGTCAACGCCTTCAGCCGAATTTAAATCACATCTGAAAATTTGCCAGACCAATTCTTCAAAAGCGTTCTTTTCATGGTTTCGAGATCAGAGAATATGATTTATTTGACAGTTAGTAATAAAATAAATAACAAAAATAAAATTATCGTTAAATCATACCTTGTCTTCTTGTACATATGATGCAGAAGTTGCTGACATTGATGAATTACAATTTGGCAAAATAAAGTTAAATTTGTTCATAACTAATGCTTTCATCGACATGTATATATTGTAAGCTAGTAATAAGACATCAGGATTATTACATAGTTATGACCAAATTTGGTGAACATTATCCATTCCACGAAAAGGTGTAAAATCTATATTATTTGATCGAAAAAATGTATTATTCGAATGAAACTTATCATCATTGAAAGCATCAAATGTCAGACTAATATCAGTATTATCATTTAAAGAAATATTCGAATAAAACACATTAGATGTATTTGATTGAAAAACATTATCATTAAAATTTGTATTATTAGAGTGAGATGTAAATGAACATGCATTAGTTGAACGCAGCATACGTGGTGTAGATAGATGCATATTATGTGCTATAAATGAATGCGTATCAATCGAATATGATAAATGTGGTATTGGGGTAGATAGATATATATTAGTTGAATATGATGATGAATGTATTGTAGTATAACAAGGTGTATTAATTAAATGTAAATTATAATTTAAAGTTCTATCAGTTGCTTCGTTTGAATTATTTAATGAGTTATTACGAAGCTTGTTAATATGTATGTTGTTTGTAATTGATGCAAGAGGTTTATGTTTGACACTTATAATATTTAAATAAATGAAAAGTGAATAAATTAATAAATAATAAACAATAATAAGCATGGTTTTAAATTGTTACACACTTTTTTTACCTTCTGAAAGATAGTCATCGCTTGTTTCTAAAAGTTCACTAACTGAAATGGTTGGTCTTTCAGCAGGTAATTTATCATCATTTTTATCATCACATTCGTTATTATCATTATCTTCAATATCATCATAATCTACAACACCGTCATCATCTATGCTGTCATTGCCATCAATACCTTCATCATCACTATGAACTTCATTATTTTCCTTTTGATTAATAGGCGCTGTTATTTCTTGTATTTTTCCATTATCATCATCATTTAAAGCTTCGATAATAGGCTCCTTCATCTTTCAACCTCGTTTAGCTGCAAGAGCTGGCTTTTGTATTTTCCCCTTATCACCATCATTTAAAGCTTTGATAATAGGCTCCTTCTTCTTTCGACCTCGTTTAGCAGGAGTTTTGTTTTTTAACAGATGTATCTGGTATGAGATTATCATCTTTCTGCTTTCTCTTTTGATTTCTAGTCTTTGGGGATGCTACTAATTATTCATTTTACATCTTCTTATTTTTTGGTGACATGATGAAAAAAATAATTAATAGTTTTTTTTTTAAACACAAGAAATATAATTTATATAGTTAAACTTTCTTAGTATCTTTATTAAAAGGTTATAATTTTATATACTTTTATATACTTTCACTACGAACATGTATTTAGACTTTTATGATATCAATCAAAATCGATATTTATTAGAATTTTCCTATATAGCTAAACTTTTATAGTAATAAAAAAACATAAATTGATCTAAATTATTTATTAATATCATTTTTTAGTGTTCAAAATTTCAAATATAATTCTTTTGACTAAAATAAAAAAAATTGATTCGTGCCGGCCTTTAGATTAGATGTTCCAATCTCTGAGTAACAGATAAGCATTACACATATAAAAGTTTAAATTTAACAAATATAACAGTTAATATTATAGTTTACCATAAATAATTTAGTTGATAAACTAAATAATACTTTTAATATTTAACAATAGAGTATTAACTATGTAAAAAGAAATGTTAATATAGCAGAAGAATTTTAATTATGCTATGCAAAAGTTCTTTAATAAAAATTAATAAATCAGTATTGTCTCAAATATCAGCGCTCTGTACTTTTACGGAATTAATTTTATTAAATGTTGATCATACAAAATTATTACAACCATTAAAAATATCAGTATAAGGGAATATCAGAGAAATTATATTTTATTAAAGATATCATGAAAAAAAAGTGTTCTTTCTTTCAAACATCAATCTATCCCTTATATACATTATTTTTGAGAAGACAATTCACCCAGAAGACAAATTAACTAGAGACTGTTTTGGCCAGTTGTGGTCAACTTTTCAAGTGGTCAATTTGGTCTACGCTGATCTTCAAATTTAATTCAAACTACTAACTCTATTAAGCAAATAATGCAAACTATACAATCGGTGTCACTAATGCTAATAGTTTAATTAATTTTTATTGAAAGTATTTCATATCGCATGTGATATAATATAATTGTCATTGTAAACATTATTGTTACAAAAGCTGTATCAATTAAACTGATTTATTTATTTAAATATTGCTATAAATGTCTAAATTTATATTAAAATATGATTATACTATTTGTAATAATAAAGTCTAATTATTGTTCACTATAAAAGTATATAAATGGCTTTATTTAAAAGAATTGACTTTTTAAATACTTGTATAAATTTTTCTTTCATATCATTCTTTGATAAAATGTTTCAAAATCATTATAGCACTGGTATTCCAATAATCAATATAATTATATTAGACAATGATATAACACGTTTAATATATCTTCACAAATGTCTATGCTGATAAATAAAAGAAGTTATGAGACAAATGGTAAAGATGGTAAATATTAATATTATCATTATAATATGTTATATATACTTTTCCAGCAGTTCTGTTTCTATTCTTATAGAAGATATAGTAGATATAGTTGCCGATGGAATAATGATTGTACTGAAATGACTATTTATGATGAAAATAAAGAAATGACACCTGCTATTGACTTAGAAAATGAAGACGATATAGAGCCTAATAAAAGGATGAAGAAGCATACAAAGATGAGATGGAATTCTATACGAATGATGAAGCAAGTGAAAATGATAGAATAATGACAGAGTTTGACAAAAGTGATGAAAAGGATGGTAGTGGTCATGAATATGATGATGATGAAGAATCAGATGAAGAAGTAATAGTTGATAAACCTTTTATTAATGAACAAATGCTACAAACTTTTGGTGAATTCATATCATACTTTAAAAATATCACCAAATTATTATACTATATATGTAAGTTAGATTACTTTGAAACTTTAAATGACATTATAGATAAACTAATGGTATTTCTTTACCAGCCACTCAAGCATATGACGAACTGGTGAATATAATCCAACATCCGCAGTTTAAAAGTGAAGACATTATGCCAAATAGTCAATGCTTTAAAAAATATAGACAGAGATTGCCTCTACTTCCAATTAAATCTCGCCAAATTAGCATTTCCAACAAGAAGACACTGTCAACATCTAAAAACATTAGAGAAGCGTATTATTTGTTCATTATAGATATTATTTATTACATTTTAAATAATCCTTTGTTATTTAGTAATATGTACTTTAGACCTGATCAAGAAGTCAAAAAAACAAAGAATTTTGACACGGGAACTTGTGGAAAGAATCTGCAAGATTCAGACTATTATTAGTTACAGTCGCTCAAGATAACTTCAGAAAGAAATTTAATTGCTTTCTGTTGACAAATGTTTACAAATATTCTTTGTAGAAGTATACTACTCCAGTGATTTTATAATATACAGAGAATCTAGAAAATTGAAAAGATTCAGCTATATATTAGCATTTATGCAACAAGATGACTGGCTAAAGGTTAAAATCCAACGTGTTTTAACATATGATGAGTTACTAAGAAATTAGCAAAGTAACAATTGAAAACAAAGATCACAAAAAGGAGAACTGTGATTCCTGGACTGAGATATAGATAATGCAATCATAAATGTTGAATTGCAAGCAATTGTTAAATATACACTCCCCTGAAGAAAGTATTCGGGCACGGCTTTTTGCGAATTGTAGCTTAATTATCTTATGTTTTTAAATAAATTTTTATATAATTATAAAGTGCATGTTCCTGTAAATCTATTGGCTACATTTTATTATTGTTTTGAATTAATTTATATA